AAAGTGTTTCAATAGTTGACATAGTGTCAACTACTAGATAGAGTGGATACATTTACGTGATATTTAAAATATAAGTGTACACATTATATACAATGAAAATAACAATAAAATATTAAGTTTTTACAGTCTCAGTATAAATGGTTAGTAGTTGACACCTATGTCAACTACTAGTATTTTTGTGTATTTGTGAGTTAGTAATTGACACCTAGCCTAATTTTTGTTTTGAGAATAAAACAAACTTAAAACATTAGCAAGATGTTACCTTAATATTCATATAATATATTGATATATCTAAAACTACAGTCATTCACAATTTAATCAATAAATATTAATTTTTTTAAACTTACCTTCTTAATACTTTTGTTTAGAAAACTTGTTGCCACTTGAAGCTCACACAACACTTGACAAAAATTTGGTGGGAATTTTCTGTTTCAAAGTTAAATAATTCTACAGTTACAGAGAAGATGTATAAATGACACTACTTAACTATGATGGTAATAATTACATTAAAAATAATTGGAAAAGCTTATTATTTATGCTTAAAATGGAAAATGTCAACTACTGGTACAGTGTCAAGTACTAGTGCATTTACCTTAATGTAGGTCTATTTAAAAATCAGAAAATCGTAAAATTCTTAGCTTTTCCAAGAATTACAAACCAAATTAATTCACAACATATACCTATAATGAAGTTCTAATGGATGATTTTTAGTTAACTATTTAGAACTTATATTTCATCAAATATAAATATTTGCATCATTTTATCCACTCAGAGAAATGTAATAATTCAAAGGTAAGAGTAAAAACTTCCCACTATAGTTCTACTAAGCTACTAAGCGTTCTACTAAGTGTTTTTTTATTATCCTGTTCTTGTTCTGTTATAAGATTATAGGTGAGCAATGAGCCTTCGAAAATTGGCGCAGTAAGACGGATTGAGATGCAGTTTGGTCAGTGGCGTTTCCCTTTCAATGAAACACCAACCGAAATACTTAAAAAAGATAAACCCAAACTACATAAAAAACATAAATAATAGGTTTTCTTTAATTTTGAACCTTCTTAGGGAAGAAATTTCCTTATTCCTCCCCGTGTATTCTGCCACTGAGTTTCGAGCATTCGATTCATGAGAGCGTCGGGAAATTTTGTAAAATAATGCAACCAAGAAGAACTGAAAAATTTCATTTGTGCATAAGAAAATGCATTTTCCAGAGTTGCAAATATAAAAATTTTTGACTGTAAATATTGAATAAAATGTCGCTAAACACGAATATCATGTTAGCGAAAGTCAGCGGGCTCGGGTATCAAAGATCCAGGTTCAAATATTTTGTTTACTGGAATTTAATTTTTTTAAATTTACCTCCTTTTATAGTAAAGTTGGTAGCACTGACGCTACCTTTAACCTACTTAACAGGTAAGAAGTTATTTACCTACTTTCACTGTATACAGCATTTGTTTTTATATTATTAAAATTATTTATTAAATAAAAAAACTAAGTAGATAGAATATTCCATTGTTATTTGATAAATAATGAATGATTGTGTATTTTTTTAAACTCTTTAAAAATTTTTTTTTACCTATACTTATTTATCAAATTTTTATTGCATTCTTCACCTTTGCAGAAATAATATTCGTGTTCAGCAATCTCGAAAACCCGAGAGAAACGAGTTTCGAATGATTTTGTATAGAATTTATGTATGGTCATCGGAGACCTTCGCCAACATAAAATTCATGTTCAGCGACCCCCAAAACCCCCGAGTAGCAAAATTTTCATAATCACATAAAATTTCCTGATGCTCTCACCAATCGAATGCACCAAACTGCATCTCAATCCGACTTACTGCGCCGATTTTCGAAGGTTGGGCCGATTTTTGTGCTTCATTGCCTCGACTGATAAGGGGTAAATTTTATACAATCGGACACGATTAGTTCGCCATTGTTTATTTCTATTAAAAGAAAAAAATGCTATTATCTGTCAAGGTATTTTTATATTATTTCTTGGGGAAAATATTAGTTTTTTCTTAAATAAATATAAATATAAAAATAAACAATGGCGAACTAATTGTAGATTGCAAAAAAGTTATTGAGATATCGGACAAAAATTCAAATTTTTGCAGTTTTTTATATGTTAATAATGAAATACTGATCGTGACGTAACATACCGACCAAGACGCCATTCTCGGTAAATTTCTTCTTCTTTGTAGTTCTAGAACAGTTTTTTACCTTGCTTTTTTTATTGAACTGCAGCCAATTGGCTTATTGAATATTGTTTGTTGAGTAATTGCATTGTTACTAAGTAAAGTCAGCTTCATTTTCTTTACAAAGAATTGCTTATTATATCCGAACGACGAACGATCTTCCCTCACAAGATCCTTCCATCGTTATTTATTCAAGTCCGATATTTTTAATGACCTTATTGCCAGTACTTGTAAATCGATTTTTGGATTGGGTCTTCATCTTTCATTCTTAAGATATGTTCTCACTCGCCATCTCAGTCTGCTGATTTTAATTGTTTTTATGGCATTTGGTTCTCTGGATGGGTGATAAAGCTCAAAATTAAAACGCTTCTTCTATAATACATTGTCATTTATGGCTTCATGTATTGTTCTTAGGACTATTATTTGAAAAGTTTCTAGTAGATTCTATTTTTTTTCGAGTAAGTGTCACATAAGAGCCATATTATAAGATTATGATCAGATTCTTTAGATTTTTTTTACTGTAAGTAGTTGTGAAAATTCTTTTTTAATTGCAGATTGACTTCTTCCTATAATGATTATCTCATCTACAAATGCAAGAAATTGGATCCTCTTATAACATTGTGCCATTAATGTTGATTCCAGAATTTCTTATAAAATAAATAAAATAATTTATTGACCTATTAAACCGTATAAGTATGTAGGTACCTAAGTCATAAAAAATGAAATAGAAAACTATAATATACACATGTATGAAAAACGAGGACAACTATGTACAACTTACATCTGTAACTACTACTCTTTTTGCACTAAACATACTCTAACTGCACTAACATAACTATGATATTTAGTCGTAAAATCCTGTGCAAACTTATCCCATGGACAACCAATTGAAAGAGAATATATCCAAATAAAATGAAAAAAGACAGTCAATATTTGATTTCACATACTAATGCTCTAACTGCACTAACTAACCTATTGATATTTAGTCTGAAAATCCTGTGCAAACTTATCCATGGACAACCAATTGAAAGAGAATATATCCGAATAAAATGAAAAAGACAGTCAATATTTGATTCCACGTACAATGCGTCTGTGTACCTGCTTAGTATTTCGCCCTAATAGGGCTCATCAGAACAGCTATTCATGGGCGTTCTGAACGAGAGTGAGTCTTAATTTGCTTGTTGAGTTGTAGAAAATTCAAGGATAGACTACATATGATTCTAGGCCCTCTCTATGCACCTCTCACATACACTAAAGAAAAAAGTAGAAATTTTCAAGGTGAATCATCTATCATAAATTATTCTGTTGATTATCTTTAGATATGGGCATAAACCTGGATGATACATATCTTTCCATTTCAGATTTACCTTATTAAACCCCTTCTTCTTCCTATGCCGTCCCCATTAACAGAGTTGGCGACCACATTTTTAAAAGCTTCTCTGTCCTTTTGCAACGTGGAATAATTCGTCTACAGTCATGTTTGTCCCAGTCTCGAATATTTCGCAAGGCCATGACTTCCTCTTTCTACCTATTCCCTTTTTGCCATCGACTCTACCCTGCATGATGACCTGCAGAAGACTATATTTATTATTTCTTAGTATGTGTCCAAGGTATGCAGTCTTGCGTACTTTTATTGTTCTCAACAATTTTTTGACTCAACCCATTCTTCTCAGCACTTCCTCATTGGTGACCCTGGCAGTCCATGGATTCTCAACATTCTCCGTATATCCAAAGTTCAAAGGCTTTCAATCTTTTTAACTATTTGCGCTTTTAGTGTCCATGGTTTCTACCCGTACAATTAGTTGCGACCAGACCGGTAACATTCAACAACTTCTCAGCGCAATATTCAGATTTTCAGATATTAAACCCCAATCTACACAAATATAGATAAAATTAAATGAAATATCAAAAAAAGCAACTTTGATTGCAACCCAGACCAACACTAAAATAATAACTGCCTATCAGAAATGGAAACAGAGGCCAGCTATGAACTCCTATATATTTTGGCACACAACACCAAAATGAGCAAAGAACAATTATTAAGCAGTGGATGTGAGAATTAATATTAACTGGTATATAACCAACATCCTTGCAGACCTTGTTTTAGCTTATGCTGTCTTCATTGGGTTCGATGATTTCATATTAATGCATGATAATATCATGCACATGCACAATAATAGTAACCCAGTATCTTCAGGAGTGGTGATATTGAGACTATAGATTGGACACCAATGAGTCCTGATGCAAATACCATATAACATACATGGGCACCCTAAAGTGACATATACAAGAACTAAACCCAGCCATCTATTGCTAGAAAATTAGTTTGAGTTCCACAAGCAACCATGCAAGAACTTAGGGGAAGCATGTCTATGAGCACAGAGGCTATTGTTAGAGCTAGGGTAGGAAATTCTAAATTGTTATTAATGATTTTTTATTTTGTTGCAATTGTTGTTGTTTCCAGTTAAATGTTATGATTCAAATTGTACTCTTCCATTAAGTTGTCTGTATATCTTTTGTAATATTACAACATTTCATATTCAATTAATTTGAATTCATAAAACACTTCAAACATACATATGATATTTCAATTTAATTAAAAAATATTTTTAAAAATAAAATAGGCAATACTTTTGTCCATCAGTGTATAATATTCAAACCATGGCGTGCTTTTATATTTTTTGGTTGTTTTGCTTGGAAAACATTGCTGTTTAATTTGAATATTACAAAAGCATTTTAACAAGTTTCTGATATTAGTTTCATACAAAATTTTGCAAGATGATAAGTAAGTAGTATAAGTTGTACTTACCATCGTAAATTAACTGTAGTCATAATAATTGCGGGAATAACAAGAAACGTTAACGTAAGTGCGAAATACAACCCATAACCGTTAATAGAATAAAAGTATAATAAAATACAAGCTAGTATTAAATCTAGGACATAGGTTATGATCGATAGACCAATACAAACAACGTAAAATGGTCCAAAACGGCCGCATTCTGTAAATTTATCCGGGCTTTCTCCCTGTTTTAAATTTTCGATTTTTGCAAGAGAGGAATCTCTTGAAAATCGCACTACTGTACAATCTTCTGCCATAACAATCGCGAATAATAGCACTGCACTTTAACTGCTACCCGGATATAAGTATAACGTTCATTTTTGCGGCAGATAAAGTTGTTTACAAAGCCGTTCTGGAAAATACAACAACTAAAGCCGTGTTATTATAGGAAATTCCTAAATAATTATGTGACGCACACACGAACCTAACAAATACAAATTAATTTTTCCCTGACAGGTGGCCATGAGAATTTGACAGCTGTCATTTAAATGGAGGGGATTAAAAATATTTGTTCTACTTTTTAGACAACACTCCTTACCAATCAGTGTATATTGTATTATCTATTGTGAAGAATTAGAAAAGTCTATGGAAATTAAATGACATTGTTTCTAATTCTTCACGGTGCGAAGATATGTTTATTGTTTATGTACTTTTATTTTAAGGTATTCTTTGAACTTAAATCACGTATGGTTTTTAAGTAATTTTTTGAGTATATTTATATCTTGTCTTATTCCTTGGTTAAATATACGATGCATATATGTGTTTAAAGTATTGGTTTTTCTTTAATTTGTTTTATTTAATGATTGGTTTCTCCTCTTGTTGTTCATAATAATACTAAATCCTCTAGTTTATTCTTTATTGAGGAGAATAACTTCATGTGTGTTTTTATATGATTTTCTGTTCGCTTTAAGATTGAATCTATTTTCGCTCTTGTAACTTATTACGGTATTCCACGTTTGTCTCTGTATCACCTTATTTAAATTATTATAAATTAATTTATTGTCTTTGTATCACCTCATAATTGATTAAGTACTGTGTTATTATAAATATTATGGTTTCTATATTATTTTTGTAGTGATTCTTGCCTGAAGTATATACTTCATTCTATATTATTATCATTCTGACGATACCTTTATTAACTCCTTAAAACGAGGAAAAGTTTTCTGGCACAAATGCATCGAGTATAATGTTCCAATTTATACGGCGTTCGTCGATTTCCATAAAGCATTTGATTCCATCGAATTATGGGCAGTGCTTGAATCTCTAGAAAATGCATACATAGATTCAAGATACACTAACATAATTAAAAATATATATGAAAATGCCACCATACAGATAAATCTGGAAGAAAGCACAAAAACTAATCCATAAGACTACAACGGGGAGTAAGACAAGGAGACACCATCTCTACTAAACTATTTACCCTTGCTCTAGAAGATATTTTTAAGAAACTGGAATGGAACAATAAGGGTATAAACGTCGACGGATCATACTTAAACCACTTAAGATTAGCAGATGACATAGTTTTAATAGACGATAATATCCAAGAACTAAATAATATGTTACAACAATTAAATGCAGTTTCAGGAGCGGTAGGCTTAAAAATGAACTACAGCAAAACAAAAATACTGAGCCGAGACCAGACAAATATAACATTACAAAATCATACCATAGAAAATGTTGAACATTATGTATATCTAGGTCATGTTATCAAACTAGGAAAACCAAATCAAGATGCTGAAATTAAAAGAAGAACACAACTGGCATGGGGCGCTTTCGGCAAACTAGTATATATCTTGAAAAACACCTCCATTCCTGTAAACTTAAAGACAAAGGTGTATAACACATGCATACTACCAGTTTGTCCCTACAGCTTGGAGACAGTAGCCCTTACCAAAAAATCTGCTAAAAAAATAGAAACAATGCAAAGAGCAATGGAACGAATCATGCTTGGATACTAAGAGAAAGATTAAAACACGAGATAGACGTGACGAAGATTAGGGAATGTGGAAGAAATCCAAAAAAATGGCGCTGGGCAGTCACGTAGCCCGATATAATGACAACAGGTGGACACGGAGAATTCTAGAATGGAGACCAAGGACGACAACAAGAAGCATGGGAAGACCTCAAAAAAGATGGGTAGACGACATAAGAGCAGTGGCAGGCAAACAGTGGATTAGATTGGCGCAAGATAGAGTAAGATGGAAGCAATTAAGAGAGACCTACATTCAGAAGTGGATGGAAAATGGTTGACAAAGAAAATTTTAATAGATGAGCTTGCCATTCCGTCTCAAGTGGTTTGTATTCGTTTTCAACTAGGATTTCCTTAGCTTTTCCGTATAATCAACTGATAGATTTGGTATTATATTGATATTTGTTGGAGATAATAAGGTCTGGACTCGCGTAGTTCTTTTGCGAAGTGACTTTTAAATTGACATTGATGTTGATGGTTTGTAGATTTGTTTTATTTATTGAATTTTCAAGCCTCTGAAGACTTGCTTCCGCTTACTAGGCATAATTCCACTTCTCGCATTTTCGTTGTCATGGTTGGTTTTTATTTCTTACCATCATTCTTCTAAAATTTCTTTGTTGATTGCGATATTAGTTTTTATCATCTACTTCTTGGGAGGTAAGCCATTTGTGATACGCTCTCTGTTTTGTCTGTATCTGTTGTTCAAACTCATCATTCCATAATTATGTTCTTATTTGTTTGTCGGTAGGTTCGTCTTGCTTTCATATTCTATTTTAAAATTTTTATGTCATTTTAAAGATCTCATCGTTTTTACTTTATTTATAATAGCTGCATCTGTGTGACCTGTGATGGTTGAAAAATAAATATATTGTTCGTCATCATCTAATAGATCCTTAATACTTTTTTAACTATACAAAAAAACTTTCTACCTCTTTAGGCTATTTGATACTCTGTATTTTCCACTACTAGTCGGCAACTAATTCTTAAGATTTAAAAACATTTAGACAATTAGTGGGTGTTATGTACGGTGTAAAAAAGTTACAATGTTATATAAATACCGCTGATTAAAAATAGGAAATGACTTTCACCCATTCAATGAAAACATCGTGTGTACCTTTGGTTATGATTTATGATGCGAAGTGTTAGAAATCTATTAATTGTTCTGTTACTTAATTTTTTATTTATTTACTTATTAAAATATATATTGTATTCATAATTTTTTTTGTACCTAATAAATTATACACAAATAATTACGTTTAGTTTGGTATACAGTGAATGTACCGTTTATATCAAACATAGTGATTAACAAATACAGCTTTCATATAATATAAAATTTTATAGGTGAATATATGTCCATAATTATATAGGGTATATCAAAATTGATGCTTGTGATTATAAAATTTGGTTTCGAGTCTCGAGTTTCCAACAAATTGAAAACGACGGCTCAAAAATTTTATATCGAAATAAAAAAGTTTTGTCTCAACTTGGTTGCCAATACGTTTTATGATAAACAATGGCAGATAGTGATAATTTTGTGCAGGGGAGCGCTGATTCGAAAATACAAAAAATAAATAGGTACTTATAACTAGAGACTGGATTATATGCTCTAAAAAACGGATAAAATATGCATGCAACATGCACTTAAAAAGTAACCAAATATGCCTTTATTATATGCAATATGCATTTATATATGCACTTAAAAAATATTTTTTAATTTTTAGGGGTTGAGATTTGTGAGAAATAAAATTATAGTATAACTTAGAGAATGTTTATTTATTACTACATTTAATAAAAAAATATAAATGAAAATTCACAAGAAAATGTCTCGTTCTTGCTGTTACAGTATACAATCATAAAATGTTCAATATTTTCGAGAGTAATGTTACGCCTTCTATCAGTTAATATGTGTTTATATGAGGAAAACGAACTTTCAACATCACAGGATGTAATTGGCGCAAATTTAAAATTTGACACTAAGCGAGGGACCCATATTAATAATATTAATAACTTCGTTAAAGCTTCCATTGATTATGTTAATTATTGATCGCAATAAAGAAAAGCCTTTATTCCGGTTTATAACTTCACTAAATTTATCTTTAATTTTTTTTTCAATTGTCCCTGAAAGGTTTACTATTCTTCTTGACATAATCAACAATGCAAATACTATCCTTTAAAGATAATTTTTTACTCTCTAGTTTTGTAATAGAGTTTACAACTGTGTCAAAATTTGCTTTTATATAGGACAGTTCATTCTGAACAGAATTCTTACTAAAAATATTTTGACATTTCTGAACAGCAATACAACAAGAAGTATAAAAATTTGATATAACATTTTTGATATCAATATAATTATTTGCAAGAAATATGGCACTATTCAACCACGTCCCTCATCTAGTCAACACTGTTTCCGGTGGCAAAGGGATATCGGGAGAGCATCTCCCTATATACTTCTACTCGCAATGGTGCTTTTATAAATACTTTCTTTACATTGTTGATTAAACTGTTTACATTTGGAAACTCGACTCTAACTTTCTCTTCTACCCTGTTTAAACCATGCGCTAAGCATGTACAATGAATCAAATTCGGAAAAGACAAAATCATAAGACTAGTAACAGCTTTAACCATGTAGGAAGCGGCATCGCAAACTAGTAGCAAAATTTTTTCAGAAGGTACTTGATTCGGTAAAAAGAAATTTGTCAAAGATACATTAACAAATCGAGCAATTGTTGCATAGTTGGTCTTTTCTAAACATTTTAGCTGATTAAATTCGACTTGTTGCAGTCATCAACTGAACTGTTTAAAACTCCAATAATTAAATTCGCGATTTGCCGACCCTGGCGTCAGTAGTCTCGTCGACAGATATCCACAGATATTCATCTCTTACTTGGCTTTTAATACCTTCAATAACGTCTTTGCAAGATGCCCTCACATATTTCTTGCGAGAGTTAAAGAACTTGGTACCTGTACTGACTTATTTTCAATTTTACAATGTTTTCAAAAAATTTTTGACACACCATTTCTATCCAATTTATACAGTGGGATATTGCAACTTACAAAAAAATTGCATACATCTTTTGCAAACATTTCTTGCCCCTGTCATGTGTGACGATTTTGAATAATGTTGTTTCTGCAGAAGCTGCTGGCGTAGTTTCTTGAAGTCCATAGATAGTTTATATTGGGTGGAGAAGCCGTTTTCAGGTGTTGGGAAATTTGGATTTTTTTTCACATGAATCTGTAATAAAATGGTTTAGTAAATAGGAGTCTAATGCAATAATATGGACTTCAAATTTTTAAGATAACTATATTTTTTTTCGAAACTAAAAC